TAATGAGCTACAGGCCTAGAGTAAAACAATAATTTAAAAAAAAGGTTTTTTATTTGGAAATTATTAATTATTAAATTAAAGTTAAAGTGGAAAAGAAAAAGAGAAAAAGCGTGACACAAGAGCCAAAGAGGTTTCACGTTTGAGGACATGCCGGATTACTGGGTTTATACACGTAGTTTCAAGTTATTGTGCCATGTGTCAATTCAATATAACTTGTTTAATTTTTAATTATGATTTAATTAGAGCCGTAAGATGTTTATTTCTTTATACAGTGGCCCATTTAACCTTTTGGAAATACCATTTTGAACTCTCTTTTTCTTCTGGAGGAAATAAAATCATTTTGAATTCAATTCTCTATAAGAATTTATTGTAGAAGAATTTAATTATAAAATCGATTGGCAATCCACGTCCTATTTTTACATGAGTGGAAAAAACTATCAATGTATATAGAAAAAATATATATGTATCGACGCTGTTGTGACTTTTTTTTAATTGAAAAAAAAAACTAACCTCAAAGAAATAAAATATTTGTATTTTTTTTTAATAAATCAATTTTCATATTTAACTTGAATTTAATTTTAAAAATTCAATCCAAATTCAATTTTTTTTAATCTATTAAATCTAATAAGAATTAAAAATTTATTCTAATTTCACTTTTTTTACTAAAAGTTTAGAAAAAAAAAAAAAAAACACCTACGGTTTGTTAGGACAAAAAACAAGACGGAGGAGTTTTACAGATGACGTTGGACTCTATCCGTTACATACTTACATGTCCCGTTGCCATCAAATCACGGAATTAATGTTTCATTTGATAGGGAAGATGAACAGTAGTAATTATGAAAAATAGGAAGGGTGCACTTTCTATCTTTCAAGGATGAAAAATAAGAAGAATACATTTTTCTTCATTTGTATTTAGTTTGATGGATGAAAAATAAAAATGACTATTTTTTTTTTGTGCTGACTAAAATTAGGGGTGACAATAGAGTCAAGTCGTATCGTGTCAAATTCGTGTTAAGTCATTACGAGTTTATGTCGAATATTAGTCAAACATAATTTTACTCATTTAACTAATTGTGTCGTGTCGAGTTACTAGTTGACCTATTTATTTTCATATTGTGTTCAAGTCGTGTCATCGTGTTGAGTTGAAAATTTTCACCCTTAGTTAAGATAAATTTTTTTTTATTTAAAATTTTTATTATTTTTAAAATTTTAAATTTATTATTATTTTTAAATTAATTTTTAAAATATATATATATATATATACATATTTTACCATTGTATTTTTATATGAAATTAATGTATACATAAGATATATAAATAAATAAGATACATCTCAACACAAATAATTAACTTTCCATCAACTTTCCTTTTGATTTTAGAGGGATTGATTTTGATGAGTTAGAATGAAAGTTAATTCATCCATTTTTTCATTCTTTCTACTTTTCTTCCTTATCAAACATGATGTTTTATTTATTTTTCTAATTTTTCATTCTCCTATTTTTTCATTGTATCAAACTGAGCATAAGTGTTACGGTGGTACATGGTGGTATCGTACACGTGTGTAGTGGCACGGTAAGGTGGTAGGGGGCAGGGCAGGGCTGCCCTTGGTTCACGGACACAGACTGTGGTTTAGGGGGAACAAATACCTCGTAACGCGAGCCCATAAAACAACAATGAACCTACCTAGCACCATCCTTTACTTTTTCTCTCCCAAAAATGTCACCTTTTTAAGGAAGATTTTACCTTAGTCTATTGACAATTATTAGCACAAAAATGTAATTTATCAAATTTACCAAGTTTCTCTCTCTCTCTCTCTCTCTATATATATATATATATATATAATTCTTCTGTCGTTTTGTCCAAAGAGAGTATTAATTGAACCAATTGGCAAGGTGGGTACAAGCATTTGTGACCAATGTTTACCTATTATAGTCAAACAGCTGGGAGTGTTATTTAAGTCATATAATTTCAACGATAAAGCGGATAAACAGCACACGGAATTGTGGGAAGCTGCAAATATTCCCGGGGTTTGATTGAATAATTTTCAAAAACAGGTGGCCAAAGTGAGGGTTTTCCCAAGTTTCCACGCCAAGTTGCACCGCACGCCAAAACAGTAGTGATGACGATGGGGATTTTTTTTTTTTGGGAGGGGGAGGGCCAGAGTAGACGGAGTCGTCGTTGCGGGCTCCACAGGTTCGATTATTGCTAGAGAGAAACGGTCCCACTCAACTTGGATTTTCCGTGAGGATGGGAAGAAAACGACAAAACAATCTCGGGCAAAAAAGTAAAAGTGGTGGGATGACGTAATATGGGGGAGGGGGTGCTCGTTTTGTGTGCGGCGTAAGTTAGCACGGCTCAAAACCGTGGGTATGTGGGGGGTTGATAGTACATGGGTTGTGTCAACTTTTCTATAGCCGGAGTAAATAATGGTGTAACGATTGCACTTTACTGGGTAATTTTTAGGACAGTTAGGCAATTGAGGTTGTCTTTTGTTAATTTAGATGTTTTAAGGGTTGGTCTTTTTTGTTCTTTTCGGGGAGGCAGTTTATAACAGTTCAAATTATAATAATTAATCGCTCAATACAAAAAAGTAATTGATAACTAAAAAAACATAATTATATTATATCAACAATGTCGCATAATATAATTTTTAATAATACAAAAATATACAAAATGAACTTCACTATTTCAATTAACCGCCCTTCTATATTTGATACTAACCATCAAATATTAGAAAAAGAGTAATGTTACTCCGACCTAATTTGTTGATTTAAATTATTATGACTTTTAAATTAATGGTAGAATCCGTCTAACATTAGAATTTAATGTTGATCTAATATTTCTACTAAAATTATATTATTATGTCAATAAATTAAATTAAATTTTTAAATACAAATAATTTTATAATAAAAAATAATATTTATTTATTTATTTATAATTAATAATTATATTACACGACAATAATAATAATATTGATTTGGCATAATCGATACACTCAAAATTTACTCCTAGCGTGGACGTTGAGTCTGTGCGGTGAGCCACAAATGTGAACTGTGAAGTCACCGTTGGGTCACATCTCAACAATGAAGTTGCTGTCCACATTAAAGAGGAGCTTTTACTATTTCCTTACATTTTTCTAATGACATTTTTATAAATTATTTTTGTGCGTTTTTTAATTCAAAGATAAATTATAAATTCAAATATTTTAAATTTTAATTTTAAAAATTCATTGAGAGTAGGTCATAAGATTCTAGCCTCAACATAAATGATTTACCCTTAACTAAATCAAAAAAAAAAAAAATTAATCAAAATATGTGTGAATTAATGCGAATATACTGACAAAAGTGGTCATGTCGATGATTGTTCAACTTCTACAACCTTGGATGCATGATAACAATTTTAAAGAGAAGGCAAGAAAAGAAAGATACTTCACCCTCGATGGAAATCCCCAAATCCCACTATTCATGTTTTTAGTGTTCCTCACAAAGCATAGTTGCATATTGATTGATTAGTAATAATTTTGTGTAAGAAAATACTATATGGTATCAAAATTTTAATATTAATTTTATAATATTTATATTTTAGACAGTAATTTATTTATAAAATTCAAAATTAAAGCGACAAAGAAAAAAATAAGGAAAGAGGTAGGAGAAAAAATAGAGATAAAAAGGTGTGAATTAGTGGAATTGTATGATATTTGGGAGTGTATTGAATTAATTGTCAGACATGGGGTCCAAAGAAGATGATGTTTTGAGGAGAAAGCAAATTTTTTGTACTATTGGATCAATTGTGAAGGTTGTCGTACTTTTATAAATTAAAATTTTAATTTTTTAATTGTAATATTAGATAAATTTGAATTCAAAACATTTATACAATGTATAAATTGGTTTATAAATTTTCAATAATTTCAAATGTATAAATTGATAAAATAAAGTAATTAGATTGTTTGTTTAAAAATTATTAATTCGACGATCCTAATTGCACTTTCATTCTCTTTGCAATTCTAAGACTTTCATCTCTCATATAATTCTCTCTCTTTTTATCTCATACATCAAACTCTCATATATATATAATTCTCTCGACAGACAATGTTAGTTTGGTTGAATTTTTTTCTATTTTTTAAAAATTTGATTTGTAGTTCAATATGGTTAATTCGTTTGATTAAATTCAATGATTTAATTGTGTCTTCTTAATGATATTTTTTATTAAATTAGACAATCTATTCACTAGATTTAATCAAAGGTTGAAAAAATGAACATGTATTTCGTAAAAAGAAGAGTCGTCATAAAGAAATTTATGACATGATAATTTTGTAATGATGTTAGTATAAATTTATGGGATTCTCAAATTATATTAATGTGATATGATTTATCTTCATTTTATCGCTTGAATTTGTTTTATTTTAGACATTCTTGGATCCCTGCTTGCTTGCCGAATTTTTTTGTGTCTTTGATTTTAGTTTTGATTTTTTTTCTTGTAATAATTGATTATAATTGTAATAAAAAAAATATAAAAACTCACGCATTCACATTAATATAAACAAAAAAAAATGTCGACATAACAGGGACACACTACAGTTGGACCTCATTGCTAAAGTATGTTAGGCTCTTAGCATGAATGCCACCGTTAGGGTAATTCTACAGCGCCAAAAAAAAAAAAATATTTGGTACTTTATTAAAAATTATTATTTTTTAAGATAGAGTTATAATTATTTGAGATAATTAATTTTTTTTATATAAATACCAGTAAAGAAATGCTATTTGGATTTAAATTGTGAACTTAAAAAATGGATTTGATTAATTATAACTATCGAATAAGTAATAGATTTGAATAAATACTGAAATTCATAATAAAACTAATGATCGTGATTAATCAAGTTTTTATTTTAAATCTATGTAATATTGTTTATTTTAGTATGATACCAATTTCGGTATTGTAATCTTCTACTAAACCGAGATCTACAGTGGGAAAACTACAAATGCAGGACAGGTGGTGGTCCTATGACGGTGACACTGTTACAATGACCTGCACCCTGAAAGTAACCACCGTGGTGGGTGTGGGGCCCAGCATTCTCGGCCGGAAAGAATTATGTTCTTTGATTTTTCTAGGCGTCATTTGTAACGTTGCGCCTTAGAAGGGAGAAAGCATCTCATGTGCGGTTAGGTGGCGAGTGGGTGGGACCTGGGACTACGCTCAGGTCCAAAGGAGACAGGGACCCACATCCGGAGCCCATGACCCCTTTGCATCGACCCTTCGGGTTGCTGCCAAACTACTGTAATGCCATTCTCTCCGAGCAGTGTAATTTGGGCAGACCAATCCGAATTTAACTCAAGCTCAATCCAAAAAAAATAAAGGTTGAGTTAGAAATTTAAATATTTGGGTTGGAGTTGGACAAAAAAGTTGAAACCTGAATTAAATTTGGACAAGCCTTGAATTGAGGCATCAAATTGTCGGGTTCAACCTTGATGGTATATTTCAACGTGATGCAATTTTGTGATGACGAATAAATAAAAGAAACAATCTTAAAATTATTGGGATCTGAGCTACTAAGTTCGAGGGAGTGGTACTGAGAATTGTTGGAGAGTTGGGGAATTAACACAGTAGAAATATAGTGGTTCATTGGTTCAAGAGCTCGATTAATCCACTCTTCAATGGAGATTCTTGTTCCTTTCTTCACTATTTACTATATCAAAAAGGGTTACAGAATGTACGATGTGATACTAAGGTTTTTGCCTCTCTATTGGAGGCGTTACATAGTATTTATAGGGGTATCCCTTAATCTATGGGATCTGATCCGTGATCCTTGTCATCTATCTGAAGAATTCTCCTTAGTTTTAGGAGAGTATCTTGGTTGGTTGAGGATTTTGTATCTTGAGTGTTATTTCAAATCGCCTTTCGAGTTCTTTATAGTATCCAGTTGCTTTCTCTCTGCTTCAGCTTATTATCTCGCTTTGAGGGGAACTCTAGCCCTGATTTTCTGAGCTCTGCATAGCTCTGACCTTCTGAGCTCAACTTACCTGACCTCCGTTCCCGAGCTCCAGCTCGGAAATCATTCTGAGTATCATTAGTTGCCCCCCAGCTCTTAGCCGAGCTGGCTTGGGCAAAAGCTGAACTTAGGATGTAACAGTGATGTCTTCCCAATCAGTTTACACGGGAATATATATATTTATTATTATTATTATTATTTATTTTAAAGCGGTTGTCGATAATCATTTCCTTCCTCGTTCCTTGCGCACGTTGCCCGTTGCGAGGCCCAAGGTACCGTTAGTTCTAAATACCCCTGGATCACCGATTTGCTCCTCACTCTACAAATCTTTTTTGACTTCCTTATCCTTTCACGACTTCATCTTCCTCATTCTGCCGCTGGTTTTAGAGTTTTCTCTAAGGGATAGTTACCCTAGTCTTGACTGCAGTTACGATATACTAACCCCTATAAGACTATGCCTTTGAATTTTCATCTTTGAGCTGTGCTCTAGCTGTGCGTTTTTACTTTCTTCCCTTGTCCCCTTTGCCTTAAGGAGTGCTGAGATCTTCTTGAAGCAAGAATACTTTAGGAGTTTCATACTCGAGCTTGTTGGGTGAGAGTACGTGGTAAATCTCATCACTAGTTATTCTCTGCGTTTCATTCTGGCTTTGGTGATTCTATAGGTTTATGCAGCCGAGCTTAGGTCGTGGTGAGCTGAGAGGAATGGAGCTTAAAGCGAACTTATTCTTGAAGGCTTGGGGGTGTCTGGCACAGCTTTATTTCTAATAGGAATAAGGCTGCCAAGTTCAATTCTGGACTTAGGAACTATCTGAATTTTTCAGGATGTTGGACTCATAGACCTCATGGTTCTGCAACTTCTCCTGAAAAAGTTTTTCTTTTTTAGACTTTTTGTCGCAGGTGGCCGAGCTCGTTGTGATGAACTTAACAGTTCATCGAGAGCTATTGAGCTCATTTTTATGAACTTAAGGGTTCATCGTGAGCTTCTGAGCTCATTTTCATGAACTGAGGAGTTTGTCGTGAGCTATTGAACTCGTGTTTATGAACTTAAGGGTTCATCATGAGCTTCTGAGCTCATTTTCATGAACTGAGGAATTCATCGTGAACTATTGAACTCATTCCTATGAACTTAGGAGTTCATTGTGAGCTATTGAACTCGTGTTTATGAACTTAAGTGTTCATTGTGAGCTTCTTAGCTCATTTTCATGAATTGAGGAGTTCATCATGAGCTCATTCTTATGAACTTAGGAGTTCATCGTGAGCTATTGAACTCGTGTTTATGAATTTAAGGGTTCATCGTGAGCTTCTGAGCTCATTTCCATAAACTGAGGAGTTCATCTTGAGCTTTTTAGCTCATTTTCATGAATTGAGGAGTTCATCGTGGGCTACTGAGTTCATTCTTATGAACTTAGGAGTTCATCGTGAGCTATTGAACTCATTTTTATGAACTTAAGGGTTCATCATGAGCTATTGAGCTCGTTTCCATTAACTGAGGAGTTCATCGTGAGCTATTGAGCTCATTCCTATGAACTTAGGAGTTCATCGTGAGCTATTGAGCTCGTTTTCAAGAACTTAGGAGTTCATCGTGAGCTATTGAGCTTGTTTTTAGGCAATTTCACAGGGAAAAAATAAAGACACGCAATTTTATTGAGGACAATCAAATTACATAAAAAGCTTACGAAAAAAATCTCTTAAGATGCTTCGCATTCCAAGAATGAGGTAGGAGTTTCCCTTCATCGGTTCGCAACTCGTAATTTCACGGCCTTATCACCTTTGAGATGATGTACAGACCTTTCCAATTTGCCCCCAGCTTCCAGTGCGTAGGGTCCTTCCTTGCCAACAGAAGTTTTCTGAGCACTAGATCGCCCACCTTGAAACTCCTTCGTCTGACCTTCCTGTCATAGTACCTGGCTGTCCTCCTGTAATAACTTTTGATATGATTGAAAGCTACATCCCTCTTTTCTTCAATGAGATCCAAACTTAGTACAAGGGACTCATCATCCCTTCATTGGCGAACTCAGTTCGGGGGGATGGAAGTCCAATCTCGATTGGTGCCACTGCTTCGGTTCCAAAGGCCAAAACAAACGGTGTTTCCTGAGTCGCCAACCTGGCTATTGTTCTGTAAGCCCATAGTACTTTTAGGAGGTGTTTCACCCATTTACCCTTTAGACCTTCTAATTTAGTTTTCAAGGCTGCTTTTATGGTTCTGATGGTGACCTCTGTCTGCCCATTGGATTAAGGATGAGCTAGAGCTGAAAAGTAATTCTTAATTACTAGCTCAGCGCAGAAATTTTTGAACTTTGGGTTGTCAAATTGTTTTCCATTATCGGAGACGATCGCCCTGGGAATACCAAATCTGTAGATTATTAACTGTCACATGAAGTTTTGGACTTTTTGCTCCGTAATCGTGACCAAAGGCTCTACCTCTGCCCATTTGGTGAAGTAGTCTACCCCAATTATGACGAACTTACACTGTCCCGCTCCTGTAGCAAGGGGCCCAAGTATATGTCTAATCCCTATTGCTGAAAAGGCCATGGGGGATATTAGCATGCAATTGATAGACCTTGCATCTTTTGACCAAGTCAGTGACATCCGTGAGCATGGTGGGCCAACAATACCCCAGTTGTAGCGCCTTTCCTATAAGAGCCCGAGCCCCGATGCGGTTGCCATAGACCCCCTCATGGATCTCCCTAAGTATGTAATTGGCGTCTTTGGCTCCCACACATTTAAGGAGAGGTGTTGAGAAACCTCGCTTATATAAACTTTCCTGCAAAATAGAAAATCTAGTTGATCTGGATCTTAGCTTTGCAGCCTCTTTGGGATTTTCTGGCAAAGCTCCATCCTTGAGGTATCCAATGATGAGGTTCATCTAGTTCGATCAGGTATGCACAGGCAGCACCTCTTCATCTTCTCCGCATATAGATGGTTTAGCTAGGTGCTCTATCGGAATTAATCTGTCCAAACTTTCCTGAGAAGCTGTTGCCAGCCTTGCCAGGGCGTCTGCTCGTGAGTTTTCAGCTCTTGGGACGTGTCTAATTTGGACTCGTACAAACTTCTTGATCAGCTCATGTACCTTCATGAGGTAAAACACTATTTGTTTGCCTCTAGCCTCGTAAGACTCTTCTATCTACTTTACAACTAGTTGAGAATCGTTGCAGATCTCCAACTGTTCTGCCTCCATTGAATGGGCAAGGTTGAGTCCAGCTATGACAGCCTCGTATTTTGCCTCGTTGTTTGAAGCCTTAAACTCAAATCTGAGTGCGTATTTGACATCTACTCCATCTGGGGAGGTTAAGATTAAGCCTACCCTACTCCCTTGAGCATTGACTACTCCATCTACTGAAAGCTTCCATGCGGGGAGGTCGGGTACTAGCTGCGTGGTCTCCAGAGGCTTTGGTGTCATGAATTTTGCAATGAAGTCCGCTAAAATCTGCTCTTTGACTTCAGTTCTTGACTTAAACCTAATATCAAACTTGCTGAGCTCTATAGCCCATTTTACTTGCCTTCATGAGGACTACGATTTATGTAGCACTTGCTTCATCGACTGCTCTATTGGTTCCTCGATGGTGTGCACCTAGAAGTATGGTCTAAGTCTCCTGAATGTGATTACCAAAGCCATAGCTAGTTTCTTCATTTTTGGGTATCTCTCCTCTGTCCCCCTCAAAGCTCTGCTGCAGTAGTAGACCAGCTGTTGAGCTCTGTCTCTCTCCCTCACCAGAGCTGTACTGGTCGAGAAATTTGAAATAGTCAGATATAGAGTAAGTACCTCCCCTTCCAATGGGCTTGCTAGCAGAGGTGGGGAACTCAGGTAAACCTTCAGAGCCTTGAATGCCTCTTCGCATTGAGTATCCTAATGGAATGCCTTTTTTAGGACTCGAAAGAAAGGTTGGCACTTGTTGCTTGATTTGGACACAAAGCGTCCCAAGGCTGTTATTCTCCCTATCAGGCGTTGGATTTCCCTTACGTTAGATGGTGGTTGCATGTCTAGGAGTGCCTTAACCTTTTCGGGGTTAGCCTCTATTCCTCTGCTGTTTACTATGAAACCCAGAATTTTTTTTGCAGATACTCCAAAGGCATATTTGGCAGGGTTCAGCTTCATCTTGTATTCCTTAAGGACCTGAAATGATTTTGCTAGGTGTGCAATGTGGAGCACTACCTTCAGTGACTTCACTAGCATGTCGTCGATATAGATCTCCGTGGATGTCCCAATTTGCCTTTGGAATATTCGATTCACCAGACGCTGGTAGGTAGCTCCCACTTTTTTCAAACCAAAAGGCATAATCTGATAGCAGTAAGTCCCTTGCTCAGTCACGAAAGAGGTCTTCTCCTGGTTGATTGGATCCA